ATTCTTTTTTACTGTGTTTCATGTTTACTTACTAAGTCCCCAGTATACAACTGCAGCATTGTTGCCTCAGCCAAATGCCAAATCTTAAAATGTGGGTTGCCACTGAGGAACGAGGACTGGGGTCAGATTTACTATTTGTAAGTGTGTGTCTAAAGATATGGGAGCTAGTCACAATGAGGTGATTACATTTCAGTTAAGTGTAGTGTGTGTCTGTTTGGTAGGGAAGTTGCTTTCATTTTAGATTATATTTTTACTGTATGCTCTAGGCCTGTTTGACATTTCAGGAAAAACATTTGGGACCAGTTGCTTAGCAACCAGCAGACTCCAGTAAGCTACTGATCCTGATCGAGAAATTATACAACACGTAGCGCTCCCTAAAAACGTTATATGTAAAACAAATCAGATGCAACGTGTTAATTAGTGATCTTTTGAGGTGCTTGTAGGTGGATTTTATTACTTTTAGACAAAGCCAGGCAAGCTAGTTTCCTCTTGTTTCCAGTGTCTGTGCCAACCAGCTGGCTGTAGCTTCATATTTACAGTACAGATATAAGAGCTGTATCAATCTTCAGAGTTGCTCTGATACCAGTATCGAAAAGGTCCTCCGATACTGCCTAACTCATGTCATGTTTTAGCCCCGAAACGGGGCCATTTGCCATTTTGTGCCAACAGTGATAGCAGTCATACAGGCTTCTATATCTATATATATATATATATATATATATATATATATATATATTGGCAGATGTACTCTGTGTTGGCCGAAGGTCAGGTATGGGAATTTGTATTGGGAAGGAAAAAGGGAATCGTAACATCTCTCTTTTCGTCTAACTCTTGACAAGAAAGTGAATAAGTGTATTTCCTAAAATGTCAAACTTCTCCTTTTAGAGAGGAAATATTCTTCCCCTTTAAAACTTAAAGGTTAATCAGTCCAAGATGTTTTTCCTTTTACATAATGTAGATTAAGTGATCAGTAGCATATTGGAGTGATTTCCTAGATTTGTTGACCTAGCTTTGGGGTATACAGTGTGAGTTAGTACTGATGGTATTGTGGCATTGTGCCCACAGACCTATCATACCAATCTATCAGAGATTGATACACTTTATGCCTTTATGGGCTTATGTGTCTTGGGAGCATATAAAAGTAACAAATAGCCTGCACCATATTGCATAATGCTATGGGCATGGGGTTCTTCAAAATTTCCTTGGATGGCCCTACTATAAACTGTACATAGAAGAGTATCTGGATTATACCGACAAGGCTTTGGGGCTTTTACTGATTTGACTGTGCTGTATAGACACTGGATCTGCCTGGCCATATACCTGTGGAAGGAAAATCTAACATTTAACAGTATAAAAGCTGTCTGTTTTTCATTCCAAATTTTATTTTGCGGAACATTTTCTACTTTTTTCCTCTCTTCCACACTGCATGTGACTTTGTGTCAGTGAGCTGTGATCTGATTACTCAATATTAGGAATTATTAAATAAAGAAATCAGTGAATCAGAGGCACTGATTCACAATTCCACCCAAGGGCATTGCTACAGTATGCCGCTGAATTGTCCATCAGTGTCACTGGACTGATTTATTTATTTAATACTTGATGGTACGGCAGTTTGGATACTCTTTTCCCGGGGCTTTTTGCGCTCAAAAGCTGTGCGACTGTGTGTGCACGGCACACATGTGCACGACATGCACACTGTTCTGACAAGCATGTCTGATGACAACTTGAAATATTTCTGCCACTGCATGAATCTTGTATGGGTTAGCCACTTTTAATTACTACAAAGTGCTCTGGTTCTCTTTTCCTTTCCTTCTTCCTCCGTTCCATCCCCCATGTGCATATCTCCCCTCTGTGGTTGACTGTTCATGCTCTAACAATTTTCATGCATTATTTAAGAGCTGACTATGACGAGTCATTTGCTGCCATTCTGTCTCACCTTTTCCTCCCATAGGAGCATGCTTCATAGCTCTGATGGTGATAGCTGACCCCATCGAGACCTCTTTCACTGAGTTGTGGATTGTTTGTTTTGGTTTGTTTGTGTGTCTGATAGGAAAAAAAGAAAGAAAGTGGAAAGTACATATCCAGAGCGGGTTAAAAGGAAAATAGGGGTCAGCAGAAAATTAGCCACCATGCTTCTTTTTTATTATGTTCTTTTTAGAATAACCATGCTGAAGTTTGCATTTACTTGGCTGGGTTTGATTAAAAAAAACAGGCTATATATAAAAACAAATATAAAACATGGAGCAGAAAAGTAATATTCTGAATTTGAAAATAGCCAAGCTATGAATAATCGCTGGATATTGCAAGGTGACAATTTGGTCAAAACTGAACATTCTGAGAAGATAAGAGACACGTTCATACACATAAAGAAGCATTATTGATGGGATGCCAGCATTCAGAAATATCCAAGATGCCTGGCAGGTTTTCTTCATCTTTGTTCTTGCTCTCTTTCTCCATCTCTGGTCCCCCACTTAGAACAGAGCAACTATCCCATGTGCCAGTCATGCCCGAAGAAGACGGGATCTCTGCCTGTTCCATAGCTTACCCTACAGCTGTCTCCTCCTTCCAGATCAGATCAGGAGGAACCAAAAACCAAAGCCGCATGCCACCTTAAAACTCACTCTGCCAAGCAGCCCCTGTACCCACTTGAGAGAGGCTCTATGACAAACTGGGCATGATGGCCAGTGAACAGGCTGCCGATCACTGCTGCATGCCTTGGCAGCATGGGTAGTGTCTCGTTGTCTCTTTGAACCTCCAGCTTTGGTGGCTTCCTCTACAGGGAATACTGCCCAGTTCCTCTCCTGTTGTTTTTAAGTGTTCTAAATCGGTGTAGATATTTGTGGAAGACAGGTACACCTTATCATTGCTGTGCTGTTATTGACTTGTGCATGCAGACCAGTAGAAGCTCTGTTTTGAAGATAATCCATTAGTCTCCTAGCGTGATGACATGCGTAGCCAGAGTAATGCTTGAACACTTGATGTATTATAAAATGAGAGTGAAAATTTCAAGGCAGCACTTCAGCACATGCCCATGGGAATATAAGCAAAGTTATAGTGCTCGATGCTTTGGTACCCTGGAAGGCAGTTGACAAAGACTGTACATAGTTTTGTAGTCCTTCTTAGATATGGATTCATATATTGTTTATTTAAAGTGCTTTCAGTAAGTCCTTTTCCTTAAAAGTGTGCATAAGCCCAAATGTAGCCACTGCATAAACATATGTAAATTGTGGGTTTTGCAATAATTTTACAGCATTAGCTGGCACCAAGTGTACTCCATTCCCCTCTGGGTTGTCTAGTGTGCTGGCTGTGGCTGACAGCAAATGCGTGGCTGGTCATTAAGAGGGTCACTAGAGAACACTGTTCCTAAAGAGGAGGGACCTGAGCCCATCAGCAAGCACTGGTAGACTAATTATCCCCTTTTTTGTTGTGTTTTTGGAGACAAAATCTAACTTTTAGTCAGTGTGATCTGTGTTTGTTCCCTGTTCCATCACTATTGTGAACAAGTACTTAGCATAGGGTTTAATTTTCTACCTTACTCTGATGCAGTACAGTGTTCAAAAGCACAAAAGGGGGGGGACGACAGAATTGACAGGCAATCTATGCATTATGATGATTTCTTGTCAGTTTGCCTATTCATGTGGGGAATGTGATGCAGACGCAAATTATACAATGGAGACCTGTAGTATTAAGGCAAAAGCTTTGCTCAAAGCATATAGGGAGTATATATTATATCATATTCTCTGATGAATAACATAATGTAGACCATTTAGTCCTTTGATTTGATTTAAATTTGACATTTCCATATATAGTCCTTGTCAAACACTGCGACAAATACATACATATTAATCGAAAATCTCAAGCACAACACCAAAAAGTTAGAAAAATAACTGATTTCCATTGTGAAAACCAGGTTGTCAAATGTTAGTGATTTTGAATAAGATTCCACTTTGGTAGATTTGGATCATTCCAGTGGCCCTTGACGGAATTATAATGGCTAGGACTTTATGTATTTTAATGAGTCCATTGTGATCTAGGGTCCATATCCACATCTAAGCTCATTTACACACACACATACATACAAATGTGGGACCGTTTAAGTTACCTCATTTTTTCCCCCTTTTTGAGATAGTTATTTTATGAAAGGATTACTGTTTTTATCCTGGTGTTATGGAGTGCCAAAAGCTGTCTGATGTGACTCAACTGATGATTTTAAACTCTGAAGGTCTTTTGGTGCCAAGACCCCAAAGGGTTTCTTTGGGGTTAGGATATGCTCACTGACGGGTCATGGGAATGCCACTCATTGTCAGGTTCAAAAGCTTGTGTCCCCAGGAAACTGACTTGTGGTGGTCACTGTGTTTTGTATTTCACACTCTCTTTCTGTTTCTGCTCCTCTCTCTGACTTTGTAGCTCTGGTCTGTAGCTAAGCTCAGTGTCTGCTTGGGAAAAGCAGTAAATGAAGGCAAATGCCTTGAAGTTCCGCTGCATTTAGCATTCTTGCTTGCTTACTGTGACACTTTTACTGCACTCTCAGAGAACAGGCTTTAGATTTCCCCCTTCCTCTTAAAACCCCAAACACCATCTGTTACCATTAGTGTCCTACATCTATGATGTAGCAGGGCTGCTGTCTCTGTCTGCCTGTCTTGAAATCCTTGTCACCCACTGCTTGTTACTCTTTGAGGAAGGCCAAATGACCAAATTTAGATACAGTCAACTTGCAAGCTACCCTATGATACTATAATCCACAGTAACATTTCAAGAGGGAATAGTGAGAGAAAATATACTTTGTCTGCAGGCTTGAAATCCTGGATTGCTTTCAATATCAGAAAGTTTTGTATTTTTTGCATTGCCTTGTATTATCCTCTTGTAAATGGCTACATTGATACAGTGCTGTTATCCATCTATCTTCATTATGCAGAGGTTTTGTGAATGTTTAGTGCTTGTTTGCATAAGTAATGTTTCCTCCTTATCTCTCTCTCTCCCTCTTTTCTCTCTGTCCATAGATCATATAAAGCGGAAGATTCGGCGGCGGCCATCTTGGGGGCGGGGCATCATTCGTAAGAAGAAGAACTATAAGAAAGGAACAGAAGAGGAGGAGGAGGAGCCCGAGGCAGAAGTGGAAGCTGCAGGGCCCGGTGACTCGACGCAAGATGAGGAATCATCCTGTGATACCATGGGTCCCCAGCCCAATGGCCATCATCCCCATGTCCCCTCCACAGAGGAGGAGAGCTCCAATGAGCCCCCTGTTGCAGCTCCTGCTGAACCCCCAGATGCCAGTGAAGCCCGAGAAGAGCCAACGCCTAAGGAAGAGGAGCCCACAGCCAAAGAGGCAGAGTCTGAAAACACAGAGAAACACACTGAGCTGCGTTGCCTTGGTGGCACTTCTCAACCCAAGGTAGATGGGGATAGCCAGGACAAGCCGGCTGACTTCCAGCCTTTGATTGAAACGTCCGAGTCTTCAGATGCTGAGGCCCAGCCTAAGCACATAGAGGGTCTCCTAGTATCACAAGCGGACTGTGTGAATGGAAATGAGTCAATGGACAGCCTGGACTCACAGAGCCTCAAGAAGAGCAGTGTGGCTGAGAAAATGAGTCCTCAGAGTATGGCGGAGGACTCTAATAATCCAGAAGAAGAAGAGCACAAAGACAAAAATGAGAGCGAACCAACTCAGGAGCACCCTCCCCAGGATGGGGGGGCAGTAACAGAAAATGTTGAGGAAGATCAAGATAAAGAAGGTATAAAGCTAGACTTCAAACTGTAGTAGCACAATTGGTTAATTAGAACAGGGAGCTTTTTCTCCCTCTATTTGAAGTTGTATGTCTCTGCATGTTGTATGTTTTTAATGCCCATCTATTGCTTTTGACAAGCTATCAGTCAGGTAGATATAGTTTTTGGCATCTGAAGGGAGCTTTTAAGAAAGATGTATGTTTTCAGCTACTCATTTTGATCTCTTCAAGTTATGTACAAATCATATGATCTTTACAGTACATAAGCAATTAGGCAAGTTAAAATCTGTTAATTTTTTACACAGGGAGTCAGTGTTTTTCCCACCACTTAATTATGATGAATTACTTTTTTGATCATTATCCAGCTCTTCTGATTTACACTCGGTTTAGCTTTTGAAATATAGAGGTCATGAATAATGCAACATAAGTCATACAGAGAATAAAAATGCTTTCTTCTGGCGTAGCAGACAGTATATTTCAATAGAGAAACCCAGGGGGCTTGAAATTATGTGTGCCTTTGTAGACACTGCACACCTTCTAATAAGTATCCTGAATTTTATTTATTTATTTGTCTATAAAAGACTCACAATGTTGGCTGGCTTTCCCCCCCATCTCTGACTGCCATATATCTTTTTCCCTTTGACCAGGGCCATTATGCCCTTTGTATTCGTGAGTAGTATTTGAATCAGGGATAAGCCAATAAGTTTGTTTTTAATTACAGGCATGTGGTCTGGCTTGTTGTGAGTAGAGGCCAGCTGGAAGGCTGAGGTAATGGTGCTAGAATATGGAGGATGGCACGATCAGACAACAGAACACAAACAAACTGTGGCTCCTCAAACAACAGAGAACTCTGCTGCTCCGCCCCCACTCTCATTACAAGCTGAGCCAGGTCTTTTGTTTCCATCAAAGTGTTTCTTGAGCACAGTTATAAATGGACAGGAAAGAGACCAGATGTGAAATATTGTGCCCTCAGTAGCTGCTAGTAGCTTCAAATATATTTTCTTCCCAAACTGTAGTATTGCATTAATCTTGTAGCCATGGCAGTTGGATTTTTCTTCGAAGACTTCTTCAGTTGTGCTTTTCAGTGGTTTATGACAAAAACCAAAAGATGTCTCAAATTTATATCACCCATTCATATTAGGTTGTTTTTGATTGCTATTGCATTGCATTAATTTGTTATAACCCTCATTGTTAACGCTTCTTCCATCAATAATCCATTTATTAGGGTGTTCCAAAGCCAGGAAATGCAAGAGGAGCCCATCAGAGCAGCTGAAGGGGTCTGCTGAGAGGACAGAGGACGAGCCACAACCTGTCCCTCCCCATCCTCCAGTAGTGGTTGACCACCAGCAACTTTTGGTAAATCTTTCTATAACTCACTTATTTTGTATCAAAGTGTAAATAGTTTAAATAATTTCTATTTTAGTTTATTTGAATCTGAAATTGTCACTAATTATTTATTTATTCAGTGTAAATCCTTTATCCTATGGCAGGACTGTAGCACTGTGTAATAGAAGTTTGTTACACAAAGTGCAGTCCATAAATCCAAAAACTGACTTCTTCACACAGTGATAAATGGCAGATTATATACAAATTCCCTTTCAAATGGTGTTTGATTTCAACCTGATCGTTGTTCCATCTGCCACATGTCTTCTCATTTGTAGCTTTCTTCTGTTATGACCGCAGTTGTTGACATGATCAGGATTTTAATTTAAAAATGCAAAAGGACACAATGGCTGCTGTTGGTGCTCAAACAGGTTAAGAAAGACCTTCATAGCCACTCTAGCGCAGAAACATTATCTAACCTCTTTCAACCCACAAAGATTTTAGCTTTTTAAAACCCCAGTGTGTGTCCATCACCATCTTGCTTGATTCTACATGGTCATCATTCTAATTCAGACCATGAAGGATGTAACAGCTGGGGCGATTTGGCATTGTGCACTGACTGTTGATTGGAGATTTAACAGGTACTGTGATCTGTATCAAAGCAATGATCTGGTAACAGGAAGACGAACATTCTTAAACAGAAAACAAGGTCCAACAAAATGTCCATGGTCATTTATTATTATCGGGATCACTTGACGTAGTTATTTCAGCAGCTAGGAATCAGTGTTGACGTGTTGCAGCAAATGTTATATCTGTTAAATTTTAAGTGATACAAAATATAAAATGAATAAGAAGGAATTATGTGGATAAAGACAATCTTGGATACAGAAAACTCAGAAGTTACAGTGTAACCCAATATTAATCCAAATTCACTTTTTGTTCTTTATTTATAAAGTACTATGGCTATTAAGAGAGGGTTGATATTTTTCTGCAACATAAACAGCCCCAACATCCCACAAGTAAATGAGAAAGTGCTGAAATAAAAACTTATTAGTTCAAACAGAGCCAGCTGTGGCAAACTGTCACATTTTGCAACTGACTAATTAGACTGTGATTATGGAAAAGATGAGCTATAATCTGAAAATGCTACCAATATGCTTTTGTTTTTTGTCTTATTTAAGTTCATACGGTGTTTGTTTAAATGTTGCTGGCAGTGTGGTTCAAGGGTTTTTCGAGTGTTTTCTCCTCCCTTTTGTAAAAGAAACAGCTGTTGTTCATTTCTATACACTAAATTGGTCACTTATTGCATCCTATGGACTGTTGAATCACTTTTTGTGTGGAGACATTAATATGCAAAAAGCTGCAGAGGGAAAGAGCTGGTTTGTGTCCTTCGGTTAGAATGGTTTTAAAATAGCACTGACGATCATACTACTGCTTAGCCCTGGTCCCTTTTGAAGGCTAACCATTCATGTTATCTTTAGTAAGCCAGCAGTTAGCTAGACCCGTTCCCCCATTTTCTTGCAGGCATGCCCAGTCACATCCACCACCATTAATCCATCCCTTTGTCCTCCATCCTTTCAGTAGCTTTCAAACATAGAATAGGTTCAACAGAATCAGTTATCTGGATAATTAGAAGTCTGCCATTATTTGAATGAGGCCTTGAAGGAAGCACATACATTGGGACTGAAGGTATGGAGGATGGGGAAACTCAATCATGGGTAACCAGCCTTAAGCTTCCTCAAGTGTGGAGCTGATGCTGTCACACTGCCCTTCTCAGATGGATAACTCTAACATCTGAGGCTTATCCCTCTTTTCCATTCACCCAGTGGTCATGCCACGGTCTCTCCCCTTTTCGTTTTTCAACTATCAATTTTGTGTCCTGCTCTGTGAACATGGAGGGAGCCAATTACAGTGGCAGACCATTTTCACATCTCTCAATCAACAGGTGTTGTTCCTACAACATTTTGAAGGAAACAAGGTTATGACTCAAACATGAGCTTCTCTCTGCCTCACTAGAGCCGCCAACTTGTCCCAGGATGTGTTCAAGTAACAGAGAGCATGTGAAGCAGCTCCGATGTACTTTGCACAGTCACGCTAGGGTCGCACCTAATACCCCAAGTATAAATTGGAGCCTTGGCTCAGTGGGTTCCCCTGACAGCACTTCTCACTGATCGGGTGGGGGTGTGGGGGAGTGCTTGGTTTTAGGGCACTCTGTGTAGTGTAATTGATGTAAAAGAAGTGTTCTGACATGCGCTTACTTCTTTCCCCCATGCTCTGAAGTGACATCCAGCTATCAAGCCATTATCTAGTAGCTTTTACCCATGTCCCCTGGGCATGATGGGGATGGTGGGGGCACCTATCTTGTCTTGCCGAACCTGACTCCATCTTTCAGACTGATTGACAGGCTTTTTAGTTGACCTGATCCTAGTGCTTCAACTGGCTGCCCCTATTAACAGCCACACACAGAACTAATCTGGAGGTTTATTTGTTAGTAGGGGGAAGAAGGGCGATATCTTAAAGAAACAGATCGTGAAAAGAGGGGACTGTGAATAATTGCTTTTTCATCCCCGGCTTACGGAACAAATTGAATATCCGGTGCGCAGGATGAGAGTCACCATTTAAGCAGATATTTGCTGGCAGGGCTAGGACTGGCATGCTGCCTGATGTGTATTAGGGCCCACAGTGAGTGGTGTACTGTTCCTTCTCTCTTTCTCTCTTCCTTCAGTCGTATTCATTGATTGTAGAGGGCTCATTATTTCTGACTTTTAACTTGACGGAAGAGGCTCTGAAATCTCTCTGGAATTAAATACCATCAGTGTTATGAGTTTGTGCATAGACCCTACTCTCAAAAGCCTGTAGGACAGGGGTGGTATTATTTCAGTATTCGCATCCCGCCTTTCAGAGCCATGGCACAGTTATTTGCTTTGATTCACTTAGTAAAATCAAGTTCTCTCATTGCCAGTTTTACTGAAATGATGCTTGATGCTGTCTGGATCAAAATGAATTCCTCAGCGTGAATAAATAGGTCCTGAGGCATGTTTCTCTTACTACTCCAAAATGTCTCTTATAGTCAGCTGTTTTCTTTCATCAGTAATCAGACACTTGTCCACAGATGGACTGGAAGAAGTGCTGCTGACGATTGCAGATGAGAATTCAGTAACAAGAAATCCAATCTGGCCCAGCTATTTTTCCTCCATCTTACCAAGAACACATAGATTATCGTTTGCTCTGCTGTTTTCTTTAGCAGCTGCCTAGAAAGAGCTAGTGTTTCTAGTTGCTGGCACAGTATGGAGTCTTTTGGCTTGATGCTTAGCTATTACAACATGTCAGGATTTCCTGTTATAGAGAAGCCTGTCAACAGAAGTGGCCCCATTTCATTTTTTTTCATCTTCCTTCATTTTTAGTACTAATAACAGCGGGGGGCCCTCTGGCGAAGTAGCCATCATACAAAAGACAACAGCTTAATAGTAGTGCTGGACCAGCCTTTGATTGTCAATAAAAACAGATAGCGTTTGGAGTGCTTCTTTTATTTTCATTCATTCCAACTGATGGCTTTGACAGTGTGGCTATTTGCATGTAATTGCACTTGCATAGCTATGCCTCTTGGCCATGCATGTGTGAGCCAGTCGTGTCAGTAGTTCACACAACATAAACATACAAGTCTCTTGTATTTTTATTCATATTTTGTAGTAGTTTGCCCTCTTGCCAAGCCCTTTCTGGTGATTTATTATGCCTTAATACAGAGCTCACACCTCATGCATCCCATTCAACCCTTGGCTTATATAAGCTAAAGGTTTGTACTCATGATTAACTATACAATACACAAAAATTACTTTTTAAATGCTTGGCTTTGCTTTTGTCAATCCTGGCAAGTATAATTGTAGCCAGCAGTATTTGTTCACCACTGGAAGCAAAAAAATGTTGGTTGGTGGAAACCTGCTGTAGCAGCTGGAAGGGAATATAATATTATTAGGATGCTATTACATTTTGTAGGTAATAGCCAAGGTGGGAATCCAAGTATGGGTAACATTAAAAAAAAAAAGCAACATAACTGTGGATGACAGATTGGAAATATCAGCTAACATTGCTCTCTGGCCAGTTAGTGTCTTACATTTGCTATTGCTATTACCAATCAAACTACACACTCGATATAATGAGTATAGATGTTCATATATTTTAATATATTTTGTTACGTGACTGCTTAAAATGCTTTAATGACAGAAATGTACTGTACAGCTTTAAGCAACAGTGCTTATTTAGATGCATCTAGGCTTTCCTTGTTTGTATATTCTGAAAACATATTCTCATAATACATAATGGACCATCTGACATGCTTAGTACTTGCTCAGCATGTTTTTACTGTAACACCCTTCCCTCCCCAATACACACACAAACACACACATCGGTTGCAGACATTTAAAGGACATTGCATTGATTAACCTTTATTTCCCCTGAGGTTTACCCTAAGTTTAACCATAACTGGTCGATAACTTGTCCTTTCCATAACCTTGACCTGATCCTAATTTTTTTTTCTATATTCATCTGCTTGCGTGTGGTTTTGCCTTCAGTGCATTTATTTAAAAAACATCTCTGCATCAGGGGTCTGTGGAGGCGTGTTTGGGGTTATTTGTGTAAAGTCAGTGCAGTCAGAGTTTCTCCTCCTTTATTACCTGGAGATATTGGATCTCTGCTGTCTTAAATCTATAAAATATTAAAATTCTTTCCTGTACCCTACTTACCAAATGTCTTATTTTTCTCATACTCAACTTTTTTCTTTACTGAATATCTTCTCTATTCTTTAAAATCCTTTTCTCCCCAAAGCCTGTCACTGAAAACCGAAGAGTACCTCATAATTTTTACATCTTATTATTCATTATTCTTACATTGGCCTTGAGTGGCAATCAGGAGGGAATTATGAGGGATCAGATGCTGTCCGACCAGATGGCGTGACACAATCCGACAATGATGCATTTCATTCTCCAATATTTGGTGTTGATTTGGCTTAATGGGTTATTACAAAAATCACTTTGCTG